GTGGAGGCCGTGGCCTGCTTTGCCTACACGGGCCGCACGGCGCAGGAGCTGAGCTTCCAGCGCGGGGATGTGCTGCGGCTGTACGAGCGGGCCTCCCGGGACTGGTGGCGGGGAGAGCGTGCTGGGGCCCGGGGACTCATTCCACACAAGTACATCACACTGCCGGCAGGGTGAGTGAGTGATGCCCACCCTTCCCGGAGGCTCACTTCCCTTTCTCCTTTCACCCAGGTTGCTGGCTCTTCCCCCACCCCGAGTCCCAGCTTCATTCCTTCGGCCTGGGGTGGCCCAGGGGGTGCCTTTCTTACCAGTTCTGGCTGGCACTGAGCCGTCTGGCCCCTGAGCCTAGGCCCAGAATGAGTATTCTCATCAGGCCGTCTTTCTGACCCCAGGGCAGAGAAGTTTGCTGCGGGCCAAGGGCCGCAGGCCTCAGGGGAGCTGGTGAGCAGTCCCGAGGGCCTCCCAGCCTTGGAATTTGTCCAGAGGTGAGGACGGGCAAGACAGCACCTCCGGAAGACCCCTTCTGCTGGCCCTGCTGGCCCACCCCAGCCTGAGCCCTGCCGTGGGGGCGAGGCGGGTCCCAGGCAGCAGGCCCTGGGCCAGGTGGGAGGGGGAGGGGGTCAGGCTTTAGCTACAAGAAGTGGGACCAGCCTCAGTTCCCTTTCCCTCAGCCACGCCCCAGAAGGGAGAAGCCATTGCAGGTAGTGTGGGGACTTCCCAGGGCCCCTCCAGGCTCACTGCCTGTGCCCTGCAGGCCAGAGCCATGCACCCCACCCGAGGCCCCTCTGGGCACACCCGGGGGCCCTTCTGGACACAGACGGCACTGCTTGGTCCTGACATCCCCAGAGCGACACGTGGAGGTGGATAAGGTGAGTACTGGGACAGGCTATGTGGAAAGTGGGGGAGCACTGCTCCTGGGGGAGGCGTCTCTCCTTCCCCTCATGAGCCAAACTCTTCCCTCCTGAGGTGCAAGTCTGACCTCAGACAAACCATCTGAGCCCAGCCTAAGGAGGGGCAGGCCCGCAAGGGTATGAGGGCAGCAGGGAAGGGGGGCCTGGACAGGGTAGAGGGGGGACATGGGGGCTCGCACATTTGGGCTTCACGTTTGGGTCTCGAGTGGGAAGTGGTGAGTGGTGTAGGCAAGGGGCTTCTGGGCAGGCTTCAAGGCTGGCATTGAGAGCCAGGCTAGGTAACAGGCAGTGACATGGCAGGTGCTTGGCGAGCCAGGGAGGATGAAGGGGACAGACAGGAAAGAGGCTGGGGGAGATGACTGATGGAGGAGCCGGGCAGGGTCGTGGTTCTTAGGGAGAGCGAGTGCTGGTTGCAGCTCAGATGCAGCCTGGGGAGACCCGGCTCCCTGCTCTGTCCACTGGGCCCAGCGCCCCCGCCTGCGGGCTCCCAGTGAGCACCACTGGGCTGAGACCGAAGCCCCAGCAACAGTCTGGGCACGAGGACAGATGGCAAGAGCATTCTGTGTCCTGGGTGTGGCCCAGCGGCCAGGTCTGGGAGCCCAGGGGCAGAGGCGTGACCTGGGCTGTCGGGTGCGGTGGCCGGGGGAGCCAGAGCCAGGCGGTGTGGGAGGTAGGGCAGCTGGGAGACCCCAGGGCAGGCGGGCAGCAGGGGAACCCTAGTCTGGGAGGTCTGGGCACACTGGTGGCCCCTGAAGCCAGGGGTGGTGGCTGTGATCTCAGCCAAGGAGAGAGTGGGCGTGAGAGGAAGAGGGGGACCCAGGCCCAGCCAGAGCACCCCCACTTCAGGGCTGGGCTGAGGATTGCTGTCCCCAGAGGAGCTGTGACAGCCACACTAAAAGTGTCAGGAGCGAAACCGGGCCAGGGAGGGGCGCACGGAGAGGAGGGGCCTGGGGACAGGCGGTAGCCGAGGACTTTGTTTTTGAGTGGGGAGGAGTTCAGGTAGAGGCTTGGGCAACAGAGGGCAGGAGGATCTCACTCCTAGGTTGGTTGGCAACATTGATGGGGGTGGGGGGACTGGCTGTGCAGGTAGGGCTGCTCTCACCGGAAGCCCTCCCTTTCCCTCCTCTCTTCCAGGCGGTGGCACAGACCATGGACTCTGTGTTTAAGGAGCTCTTGGGAAAGACCGCAGTCCGTCAGGGCCTCGGGCCAGTGGCCACCAACTCCCCTAGCCCTGGGCCCCGCAGCCCGAAGCCAGCTGCCTGCAGCCGCTTCGGCAAGAACAAAGGCTTCTCCCGTGGCCCTGCGGCCCCAGCCTCCCCCTCAGCCTCTCATCCCCAGGGCCTGGACTCACCCCTCAAGCCGCACTGAGGTGGCTGCCGGTTCCTCTGCAGGCCCCGCCCTGCCCCAGGTGGCCACTGGCGAGTCTGGCCACAGTCCCCAGGCCCTTTGCTTCTCCCTGGCCCTGTCCAGCCTGCCTGCTCATGACGCTTTGCAGAGAGGAGGACGTGGCTGCCCCAGCCCACCCCTGGCTCCCCTGCCCTGGCTCTGGAAGGCGGCCAATGAGGGAGGCTGGTGGCAGGCCTCTCCTGGGCCTGGCCGTGAGGGCTTGTCGGTGGTGGTCAGGTGGTGGGCGCCCTTGCTCAGCCCAGGGCGCTAGCCTGGTAGGGGTTGGCAGGCATTGGCTGCCGTTCATAAAATCCTGTGCGTTGACTCCCCCACGTGAGCCAGCTCTCTGTCTTGGGGGTTAGACAGGTGGGTACAGGGCCAGCCCCCTGGCCCCCCTGACTTCTCAAGGCCAGATAGTGGGGCACTCAGCAAAGATGGCAGGTTGGGAACAGCTTCTACAGGGGGTTCCTTGGCACAGGGCTATGTGGGTCGGGGACCTGCACATTGGAAGGCCCAGTCGCCTGTGTGCTGGGTTCCAGAGATGTGCACATGTCTGTGGGTATGGGAGAGGTCTAAGACTTTCCATGCTGCCCCCACACCCAGTGTTATCCTGATCTAAGGAAACTCGCCAGGTGGAAAATGAATTGGAACTTTTATGAGAGAGAGTGAGAAGGGAGGGCAGAGGGGGACTAGGCGGGTGGAGAAAGGAAGGTCCCCTGGCCCCACCCCCTCTCCTTCCTCCTGGGCTCCCTGAGACGCACTGATTGGGCCGGAAGCCATACGCCACCCCCAGACCCTGCAGCCTATTGCTGTGGCCCCTCCTCACACCTGGTGCCAAGGAGCTGTTCTCCAGCCCCTCATAATCACAGAGCCAATTCCCGATGGGCACCCCCTCTCCCAGTGGCTCCCAGGCTAGCCCCAGGCAGGCAGCTGAGCTTCATGGAGCCTCTGGAAGGAAGGCACCCAGTGGCTTCTCAGGAGGAGGTGTCTTTGGGCAGGAAGGAGCTGGCAGTGGCGCAGGACTCATCCCGGGGCCCCGGGCTGGGCGGGGTGCGCCTGCAGGCACAGCAGAGCAGACTCCGCAGCTCCGAGGAGACGCTGCTGCTGAAGGAGGCGTAGATCCAGGGATTGGTACAGCTGTTGAGACTGGCCAGCAGCATGAGCAGCACGAAGGGGGGCCCTGTGTAGGTGGAGGAATCCTCTCTGGGGCTGTGTGCCCGGGGAAGGGTGTGAGCCCACGTGCTCGCTAGGGGATAGCAGTCCACATAAACACTCGTGGCTGGATGAGTTGGGGGTTGGGGGAAGCAGGGCGGTAAAGGTACCCATGCCGCCAAGCCCGAGTGGCCCCCACGGCCCAACCACAACCACACCCACCTTCTTGAGGTGCCTCTGGGTCCCACGCTGCCCACAGCTGCACAAGGAAGAAGGGCGCCCAGCACAGCACGTACACGATCACGATCACCAGGGTCATCCTCACGGTCTTGGCCATGGCGGCCGACACCCGGGCTCCCTCGGTGGGACTGCCAGTCCGGCGCCCTCCGCGGTGCCCACCAGCCCTCTCTGCTGGCCCTGGCACCAGGCTGGCATGAATCTCCCGGAAGATGAGCACCTGGCAGGCGGTGATGCCCAGCGCAGGTGCCACAAACACCACTAGGGCAATCCAGGTGACGTAGGCACGGAGGCCCCAGGGCTCGGCAAAGCGGGCCCAGCAGTCGAGGACCCCGCTGCCATCACCCACGTCGCGCTGGGCAAAGATGAAGAGTTGGGGCAGGCTGAGAAGAAGCGAGAAGGCCCAGGCCACCAGCACTGGCCGGTTCCAGTGAGCTCCACCTCCATGGCGGTATGCCAGCATGGGGCGGCAGATGGCGCGGTGGCGGTCCAGAGTCATGGCCAGGATCATGTAGGAGGAGGCATACATGCCTACCATCTGCAGGTACTTGACAGCCCGGCACAGGGCGTCAGGCCCACGGAAGCGGTCGGTGGCATCCCAGGCCAGCTGGGGCAGCACTTGGAACAGAGCCACGGTCAGGTCAGCCAGGCACAAGTGGCCGATGAAGACATGCATGGGTGCCCAGCGGCCCCGCCGGCCCCGGCGCACCAGAGCCCCTAGCACCAAGCCATTGCTCAGGGCCACGGCCACGAAGACCGTGGAGAGCAGGGCCAGCTCTGCCTGGACTAGCAGCGGGTCCCGGGTGTCCAGCGGCTCCTTCTTGCTGCTGTTGCTGGGTGGGCTAGGCTGAGAGAGGGGCCAGGGCACAGCTGGGCAGGGGTTGGGGGGAGAGGGCCAAGTTAGAGCTCAAGGAGTTTCCAACTGGTCAGGTAGAGCTAGTGGCCCAGGCAGCTGCCAACCTGGGACTTCTGCTTCCCTCCAGCCCCCCACTTCCTGGCTCCTAGGCCTGCAGCAGGACACACAACATTACCCCCAACCTCGTGTGGTAGGGAGGGAAGGCCAGCAGCCCCAGCCCCCAGCCCTATAGGGCCCTGCCCTCCCCTCCCTGCATCAGCCACCTGGAGCAGAGGGTAAAGGAGGTCTCTGAAAGAGGGGCTTTGGGGCTTTATCCCACCCTACTCGGCCTACCAGGCTCATCCCAGTTGCGAGGGGTGGGGGATGGGGAGGGGCTGGTGGCAGGAACCTTACCTGAGGCGGTGGATGCCATGAGCATGGTGGGGCTGGGCAGGTGTCCTGAGCTCCTGGAGGAGACGGGGTGGGGAGGTCAGCCTCAAACAAGCGGCCCTGCTGCCCAGAGTCTCTGGATAGAGGTCCTTAGAGAGGTGCCAGGGTGGTGGGGTGGGGGTCTAGCCTGTGCGTACAACTGCGTGCGTGTGTGCATGTGTGCACGTGTGCACGTGTGTGTGTTCCTGAGATCAGGCACCAGGGGTACACCCTTAGCCTGATCAAGGTTGGTGAGGTCTGGCCACTGAGCCCGACATGGACCTCAGAGCTCTCCCAGGACTGGGCAGGGGAAGATGGAGAGAGGGACAGTCAGACAGATGAACCAAGCCTAAAATCCACCTAGGCAGCCCATGAGACCCAAGGCAGACATAGAGACCCCTTTGCCCTGACAGAGGCCAAGACAGGTGGCCATAGGAGGGCTGGGGACCAGGTGGGAGGGCTGGTGTGCCCCCTGGCTGCCCCTTACCTGGTCAGACTCCCGGGCTCCTGGGCAGCTGGGCGGCAGCGGGCGCAGAGGTGGCCCAGGAGCTCAGATCTGCTTTCCATCGCCTGCCCCGCCCCAGCCCGGCCTCTGGGAGTGACCTGCCCAGGAGGGGACTTCCTCCCCGTCTCCGGGCCTCCAGCCTCAGGGCTTCTGGCACCGGGAAGTAAGCTCCTGGCCTCCTCTGCTTCCCTTCCTGGCCCCAGTCATCCCAGGTCTGTCCTCAGGACTCCTTTCTCCCCTGAGCCCTGTGGAGCTGGTGGCCAGCTTGGCTCAGCTGCAGCTGGCTGTGCCCCCAGCCCCACCGCCCCCACTTCCACCAGGCCCATCTTATTAGAATGCTGAGGAAATTGAGAGCAGAGATGGGTGGGACTGGCTGGGGATCAAACAGCTTTTTTGTGACAAAGCTTGACTCCACTTTCCCAAGCCAGGTGCCTCCTTTGGGCCCTGGCTGGTGAGGAAGGGGTGAGGGCTCAGGAGGTCCCCACTACATGCAGAGCCTGCCAAGGCCCCTCCCACTCCTCAATTAGGGACAGGAAGGGAGGGGATGGGGCAGGCTCAAGACAAGGCTTAATATGCCCCTGTGAGAGCCAGCTTCCTCCCAAGGGCTCTATGGGAGCCAGGGACACCCCACCCTTTTCCTCCTTCCCCACCTGCAGCTACCTGTCCTGGAGGGAGGGGCTCAGAGCTTCTGTACCCACGCACATTCCAGGCTCCCTCCCTCTGTCTCTCTCACACATACACACAGACACACACACACACACACGTGCACACACACACAGAGACACGTGCACAGAGACACATATACACACATGTACACACGTGCGTCCTCACATACATGAAACAGCCACATGCCCATGTACCCACAGAAGCACAGACAGACACACATTCATGTTCTGCACACTGTGTGAGGAGTGGTGAGCCTCCTACCAGGGCTTCAGGACTGGGCCTTCCCTCCTTCCTCTCCCCTCCTCAGGCTCCAGGATCCCCTCCCCTCTCCAGGCTCCAGCCCATCCTTTCCCCGATCCTGGCACCCTCTTTACCCTCCCTATCCCAGCTCTTGCCACAGGCCCTGGCCTCACTTAGCCTAGTCCGACCCAGCCCAGCCAAAGGCAGTGGCCTGCATGCCGCCCAGAATCTGGCTCTGGGCTGAGATTGGCCCTTTCTTCCTGTTTGTCTGTCTTCTTTGTTGACCTGCAAGGCTTGAGGCCAAACAGCCTTTCACAGACCAGTTCCAAGTACAGCCAAGGCCAAGGCCTCCTCTTCCTGGCCAGAGAGTCTGGTGGTGCTGGCCAGAGACCTCGGGGCGGGTGTCTTACACACTCACCACAGCCCCACCCTACACACTGCACACCAGCTTGATGCACACACGGCGCACACGCTGCTACACATGTGCTACACATAGAGCACACACAGGGCACACAGCGCACACATGCATGCTGCTCATACACACACTGGCGCATACGTGCCACCATCATGTGCTTGTTTATCATGTTTTTTGCTCAACTATTTGGAAGTAGTTTTCAGAACACCCACAGCCCACATCTCAACACTAGCCATGCCTCCTAAGAACGAGAACATTGTCCCTTTCTCCCCATAACCACAGGAGCCTAGAAATGACTTTTCTCTTGCCTTCCAGATCAACAAAAATGGTAGAAAGTGGAGTTCCTGGGCAAGATTCTAGAACAGATTTTCCAAGGGAAAACTGTGAACCACTGGGAAAAAGTCACACCGCACCCAATATATCCCTCCTTCCTTCCTTGCGCCCTGCTTCCCCCTCCTCCGCCTTGTGCCCTGCTCCCCCCTTCCCTCTCCCCCCCCCCGCCCCCTTGTACCTCCTGGGAGTGGCCACATGGGGCCCCAGTCCCCAGAATCTCCCAGCCTGGCAGGTGAGATGGCATCTCCCTTGTCCCCTGGGGGAACTGAGGCTCCTGAAGAAGAGTGCCTGTCCCCAGCTGGGCGACCTTGGACAGGATGTGGCCAGCACTGTGTGACTCAGCTCCCGCCTCTGTAAAATGGGGATCTAACGATTGAAAGCTGCCCGGTGGCATTAGGATGGGCAGAGACCTGGGGAGACTAGAGGAGGGTGGTGCTGAAAGCTGGGGAGGGAAGCTCCCGGGAGGGGTCGAGGAGGCAACGCCAGCCTCGAGGGGCAGAGAGGTGATCGGCTCCCCCTG